AATTTTATGTTATTTTTTTTTCTTTTTCTTCTCACCTGCCTGGGTCTCCCAAAGTGCTGGGATTTAGAGGCATGAGCCACTGCGCCCGGCCATGTTATGTATTTTTTAACCACAATTTTTGAAACATGTAAAGCAGCTTGAACAGCAAGGTGATCCAAACAATATTTTTGTTTGGCAAGTGCAAATTTTAGTTCATACATCTAATATGTTACCAAATTAGAATAATATCTTTAAGACTGGAATTTATTCTTTGTGTTGGTTTGAGTCCTCCAAACCAAGATAAAATTAGACATGAAGAGATCTCTTTCTTGGGGAAAGCGTCTGTGATGGACAAAGGAGAGGAAGCTGGAGTAGACAAGGACAGCCTCCCACTGTGATGACATCTGGGAGAGGACAGAGGGAGGGCAAGGGAGCAGCCATCCCAGATCAAAGCACAGCGCTAACAAAGTTCCAGCCAGCCTGATGGGGAGTCTTTGAGTCCATGATGCCAATTAGGCCAGGTACAGTGGCTAATACCTGTGATCCCAACACTTTGAGAGGCTGAGGCAGGAGGATCTCTGAAGGGTAGAGTTCCAGACTAACATGGGCAACATAGCGAGACCTCCATTTCTACAGAAAAACAAAAACAAAACAAAACAAAACAAAAGAACAGAGGGAGAAAGAAAAAAAAATTAGCCAGGCATGGTGGCATGCCTCTGTAGTCCCAGCTACTCCAGAAGCTGAGGTGGGAGGATCGATTGATCCCAGGAGTTCAAGGCTGCAGTGAGCTATGAATGTGCCACAGCACTGCACTCCAGCCTGGGCAGCAGAGTGTGACCCTGTCTCAAAAAAGTAAAAATAAACTCCCCCTTCCAAAAAAACAAAAACAAAAACAAAAATTTAAAAAACAGTTTCCAATTAGATGCGTCCCCTGGGGCCATTTCTCTCTCCACACAAAATAGCTGACCAGCCGCAAGACCACTCACAACCCTGCCAGTTGGGAAGCTTTCCTTCTCCACTGTCTTTCACTACCTTTTGTGAAGTGGTTGTAATGCAACCACTGTCCATTTTTGGCTTCCAAGCCAGACCATCTGTAAACTGAGCTCAAGCCTTTGCCTTCTCTTCCAGGTGGTCATGAACTCCCTCCCCAAGCCCCTGCAAATATAGTCATACATTTGAGCTGGGGGAGGGATCCTGGTGCAAATGTGGTGGGTGCCACGTTGGTCTGGGCTACCTGCTCATGCAGTTTACTCATGCTCTCTGGTCTTGCTGAGGCCCAACCCTGGATTAACCATTTCCAGGACTGAGGCTGGGCCTGTCCTGCTTAATAACTCAGTGGGTCCAGAGGAACCCAGCTGGTAGAGGGCAGGACTGGATGCATGGTCACTTGGTACCCCATATATTCAGCGTTCTGTCTCTACCAGGGTATAGTAACAGGCCAGGAGTTATTTCTCAAAAGACATATAATTCTCTGCTGTGGATTGTATGGTCTTGTTTCAGAATCCTGGGTCCTTTGTTGTGATTCTCCTGCTGGGTCTTGCTTTAAGATTCCTGCTGCATGTTTTTTCACCACGGATACCCCCAATGCCATAGAGTCTATTGTATCACACAGCCCAGTTGGCAGGGTTGTTTGCATCATAGCCTCTCAACTTGCTACAGAGCCCTTTCTTGCTCTGGGTACACTTGGAGCTGGCACCTTTTTATGTCACCTGGGGATAGCATCCATTTGTGTCACCTTGAATATGGACATATTAAGTATTCCTAAATGTGGTCTGCATTGTCCCTAGAACCGAAAGAGGCCTACCGCCAGAGAGAAGGTGGTAGGGCTCCAGCTCTCTGCTGCCATCTCCAGTAATTCTACTCTGGTCCCAACCTTGTGCACCCTGAGCAGCAAAACAAAAACCTTCCCTCAGATCTAGGGAGTCGCCTGTCAGTGCTAATGCATGCCCCTTGCAGGGGAAGGTGGCTGACGCGCACCCCAAGCACTTTATCACATCTTGCTTTCTAAGCACATCTAGAGCTCACCCTCCCTAGGAGAAGTCTCCCCGCCCTGCACTCTGTCCTCTTTTATCCCGATGGGGAGCAGAGAGCTCCCGTGTTGCCTCCCTGATCCTTACCATGTCTCACATCAGCGTAGAAGTTAACAGCACGGACTTTGGGTTCCACCGGAGCTTGATTCCATTCTTGAGTGGAATGGAACCTAAGCTACTCTGTCCCTTGGTTTTCTGATCTGTAAGATGACGGCAATAATATCAATTGTACCAGATTGTTTTGAGGACTTAAGGAGATGACTACGATGCACAGTGTGACGCATGATGTTGCTGTCTGCACCCCAGGTTCCAGCGGCTTGTTTAGAGGCTGTTTCACTCATTTAATTGGAAGCTCCTTGAGGATCAGAATGGTCTTTTGCAGACATTCCCCCTAGGATACTAAGGACACAGTAGATATTCAGAAACTATTTAGGGATGTCTCTTGAATGTATACCCATTTTTATCAGCCACGTTTTTTCCTTCCAGAAATGCAGGATGTTAATATCTGAGAGGAGCTGCTGTTAGCATGTAGGAAGCCCCAGGTGGTGAACAGAGCAGGGGCCTCCCAGTGGGACAGGGGAAAAAGGACACTGATAAATCGTGTTAATTTTCTGGGCCCCAGTTTCTTCATTGGGAGAATGGAGAGAGTGATAGATACCATTATAAAGTTGTGGCGAAGGTTTTTCATAAACTATGCTAAACACGATGCCAAGGACACAGTAAGTGCTGAGAAACAGCAGCTGCTATTATTACTATCAATTTAAGAGTTATTGTTAAAGAAGTGAAACTGAACGCACTTAGGCGTGCGGTCAATGCCAGCAAACTGGCTGGGTCCGCACGGAGACAGGCTGGGCAGGGCGGGGAGGGGCCACCGGAAGCCCCACCCCTTTCCTCGCGTCTGGTCGCCCAGGTAACGCGCCGCCGCATCGCCGCGTCGCAGCCGGAGTGACGCGTGGCCGCCGGCACCCGGAGCTCCTGGGCACACGGCATTGGCAGGGACCACTTCGGCAGAGTGATGACTGATGATGAGATCGAGAACGTCCTCTCCGACTCCCATGAAGGGTCGGAGCAGGAGCTGCCTGTTATCCAGCTGTGCGGGCTGGTGGAGGAGCTCAGGTACCGCGGCCCGCGCCTGGGGGCCGCCCCTCTTCCTCCTGGGCCCTCCTCCCGGGGCGGCCTTGGACCTGGGGACCAGCATGGAGAAGATCCAAGCCCGCACTGAGCACTGGGGAGACTTTGCCTCTGCTCCTGCGTCTCCACCACCACTGAACCAACAAGCTGTTGGTGGAGCTAGATCGGGGTGGTGGGGCGAGGGGGTGGGGCCGGTGGTGGGAAGCCCAGAGGGTAATTGGGGAAGTGAGAGTTTCAGCCGGATGAGTCTCTCTCGTGCCAGACGGTGTGCTTAGCCGATCCACAATTCTACAGAGGCAAGTTGGACCAGGTGACTTCTAAGCCCTTTTCTGATGCTAAGATTCTAAGATAAGGCCGGGCACGGTGGCTCACGCCTGTAATCTCAGCACTTTAGGAGGCGAGGCAGGCGGATCACTTGAGGTCAGGAGTTTGAGACCAGCCTGGCCAACATGGTGAACCGTCTCTACTAAAGATACAAAAATTAGCCAGGCGTGGTGGCGCGTACCTGTAATCCCAGCTACTCTGGAGGCTGAGGCAGGAGAATCACTTGAACTTGGGAGGCGGAGGTTGCAGTGAAGCGAGATTGTGCCACTGCACCCCAGCCTGGGCGACAGAGAGAGACTAAGTCTCAAAAAAAAAAAAAAAAAAATCTGTGATAAAACTAACACGGCAGCAGAATAGAAACCTAGCTATTGAGATGGTTTTAGTATGAGGCAACGTGTGCCTGAACCTGGATATAAGCATGGAGATGGATAGTAAAGAATGACTGGCCCAATAGTCTGCGTTTATTTTATTTTATTTTAGTTTTGCAGTCTACTTTATATCTACTACGATAGCAAGTAAATTGGATATCAAGATTCCATGATGTAGTTTAGTTGTACAACTTGCTGGTCTTGCACAGAATATCCTAGCTCTAGCAGCTGAATAGATGTTACTTCTACACAGCTACAAATACTTTAGGTCAGAACTGAGGTGTTATTACTAATAGTTCTCATTTTTGAGTGTTTCTATGTACCATGCATTTACATATATGATCTTATATGATGACACTGCAACCCTAGGTGGTGGGGGTAAGGAAACAAAGACACAGAGGTTAAGTCACTTCCCTAGGTTCACACAGTTAGTGGTAGTGCTGGGATTCAAACTCAGGTGTGACTCCACAGACTACACACACCTGGAGCATGATCTATGCTGAAAAAGCAAGCTAGTTTGATAGATTGTGTTTTCCATTCAGCCTTTTCCACTAGTTTGTTTTGTTTTGTTTTGTTTTTGATATGGAATCTCACTTGCTCTGTCGCCCAGGCTGGAGTACAATGGCATGATCTTGGCTCACTGCAACCCCCGCCTCCCGGGTTCAAGTGATTCTTCTGCCTCAGCCCCCGAATAGCTGGGATTACAGGCTCCTGCCACCACACCCAGCTATGGGGTTTCACCATGTTGATCAGGCTGATCTCGAACACCTGGACCTCAGATCCACCTGCCTCGGCCTCCCAAAGTGCTGTGATTACAGGTGTGAGCCACCACGTCTGGCCCCACTAGTCTTAAAATTCAGCCAAACAGGAATTATTAAAAGTAATAGCAAAAACTGCAGTTACTTTTGCACCAATGTAATAGATCAATAACACATGAAAACATCAAAGTTGTTCTCTCTCTCTTAAATATATATATACATATATATGTGTGTGTAACACACACACACATACACACATAAGAGAAGTTAAGAAGTTAAAAAGGTTATAACCTTGGCATATACAGGATAAACTGGGTATGTTTTCTTTTCCTCTGTTCAAAGTTTTCCACAGTTTATGATAAACTTCTGGTTGATACTTTTCATCTATTGGGTGCTGGAAATAAAAGAACTGAAAAACATAAACCAAAGGAAACATCTGAAGATTGTGGGTGTGTGTAACTTCAATATTATAGTAATTCAGGATGGGCACAGTGACTATCATTGCCTGTAATCTCAGCACTTTGGGAAACCAAGGTGGGAGGATCACTTTAGGCCAGGAGTTGGCGCCTAGCCTTGATAACATAGCAAGATACCACCTTTACAAAAAAATTTTTAAATTAACCAGGCATGGCATTGTGCACTTGTAGTCCTAGCTACTTGGGAGGCTGAGGCAGGAGGATTGCTTGATCCCAAGAGTTCAAGGTTACAGTGAGTGCAACAGAGTAAGACCCTGTCTCTTAAACAAATTTTAAAAATATGTATATATATAATATATAGTAATTCAGAAATAATTTCCCAAATGGGTTCAATGATACTTGAAACCTGTGACAATTTTCAATGTAATACTAGTGTTCTGAATGTTATGGCTCATAAACATATTAATAAAAATATCAAATATATAGCACTTACTATGTGTCAGGCACTGTCCCAGAGGCTTTGTCTTCCTTATTGGAACCCTAAAGTTCTATTCTTATACCCATTTTATAGGTGAGGAAACTAAGGCACCAAGAGGTTAAGGGGTCTTGCAGGTCCACTAGTTATTAAACACTAGTTATTTGGGGTTTAAACTCTTATTACTAGAACTTACTCAGGTACCCTGTCTTGCAGCTATGTAAACTCTGCTCTCAGAACTGAGACTGAGATGTTTGAGAAATATTACGCTAAACTGGAGCCCAGGGATCAGCGACCTTCACGATTATCAGAAATTAAAATGTCAGCAGCAGATTATGCACAGGTACACAATGGAGATCTAGAACATTCCTTTATTGTTTGTCCCCTTAAATGCAAGTGGCATTTGTGTATCTGCCTTTGGTGTGCCCTCTATGGCCAATTGACCATGGGACCTTCTTCTCCCTGTTTTACTTTTGATTTTTCTTTGCCCTCTAGGGTTTCTCTTTCAAGTGACTACGAAAGAAATTGGGTTCAGTTAATAGTGGATTGACTCTCCCAGCATATCTTAGTTTACTTGAAAGAATTTCTTTTGGCGAGGTGCAGTGGCTCAGGCCTGTAATCCCAACGCTTTGGGAGACTAAGGTGGGAGGATCACATGAGACCAGGAGTTTGAGACCTGCCTGGGCAATATTTCTAGACCCCATCTTTACAAAAGAACATTCTTAAATTAGCCAGATGTAGTGACATGCACCTGTAGTTTTAGCTACTTGGGAGGCTGAGGTGGGAGGATTACTTGAGCCCAGGAGTTTGAGGCTGCAGTGAGCTATGATCACACTGCTACACTCCAGCCTGGGCAACAGAGCAAGACTCTGTCTCAAAAGAATTAAAAAAAAAAAAAAATCATTTAGATGAAGGGACTCAACTGTTTATAAGGCCCAACCAGCCACCTAAATGAGGAAAGTAGGCCTGGCACAGGCCCTTGTCTCAAAGGGGTTATCTGTGGAGGCTTATCCTTTGAGGGCCAAGCAAACCCATATGTACCCTGGACCACCCACTTTTGACCTTTGGCTTAAATGCACAGAAAGTCCAAGATGTTTGTTTGTCTGTTTTGCTGAACACAGTCCCCCACGGATGCAGTTTCTTTCCTGTGTTCAGCTCAGGAAGTACCTCTGAGTTTCCCCTGTCTTTGACTTGAATGCTAGTCTATAGCAGGTTCACAGCCTTTCCACCTCAAGACGTTTACCCTTATTTATTTTCACTTCATTGTCAAACATAGGCCTTTGAAGTATTTAGTGCAGGGGCTTACGATGACTTGAGAAATAAATGTCAGCTCAGGCCTAATATCCAGCATCCTTTTACCGTGAATTTATTCTCCCCGGCTGTCACTCTGGGGAACTTCTAGCAGGTCAGAGGATCATTTCGATGCCTACCTTGGGCTGGTTCATTACTAATTCCTCTTTGACAATGGCTTTGTTTCTGTTGGGTTGCAGTTTCGAGGCAGGCGTAGATCCAAATCCCGGACAGGTGTGGACCGTGGGGTGGGCCTGACTGTCGACCAAAAACTTGAGCTGGTACAAAAGGAGCTGGAAGACACGAAGGATGACTTACAGCACATGAGGGCAAATGCGGAACGCGACATGCAGCATCACGAGGTACACTTTCCTCCCGGCGCAGCCTGTCCTGCCCGGGCTCCCCACCTCCACCCCATCAAGAGGTATCTAGAGTGGGTTCATGTGATTGTTGGGGCTTTAGAAGAAACACAAGTAGGATGAAGCGAATCCAGGGCCTATCTTCAAGGAACTTACCACCTGCTTGTGGGGACGACATATTTTTGAACTTTTTTTTAATGGGAAATTTCAAAAATACACAAATGTAGAGAGGCTAGCACAACAAACCCCTATGTACTCAACACCTGGGTGCAGTGATCATCAACATACGGCCTCTTTTGGTTGATCAACTTTCCCTTCATCTGGCTGGGTTACTAGGAAGTGAATCCTAGTGAATCTCTGTACATAGTTCAGTATATATCTTTAATATATGAATTCTTTTAGAACACATAACCACAATAACCCTAAATGCTCTTAAAATTTTACAATAATTTCTTTTTTTTTTTTTTTTTTTTT